TTGGCCGATTCTGTTTGCCTATGTTCGTAGTGAAGGGTGGTGGCTGCAGCGCAGCCTGGCTAGGTGTACTCTCTCCAGTCTAGAGAGCTGGGTTTCTGTGCTGCTTATGTCAGGTGGTGGATGTCCAAGGACTTTGTTGTTGCTGGCCAGCTCCAGCATTCTAAGTGTCATAATTGTATGTGTTTTTTTTTTGTGCTGGTGTTGCCTTGGGGTGGGGGTACTATGTTAGTATGTTGGTGTAGTATCTGTGTGTGGTTTCCACTATTTGTCTGTGTGTAGGTGGGTGGTCATGTAGGTAGTGGCATGGGTGATGGGTGTTCTGTGTTGTTCATGGCTGCGGCTATGAACTGTGTTCCTCTCATGTCGAGGTGTGCTTTTATGGGAAGTATTTTTGTTTCGGTGTGAAGGTGTTTGATAGGTGTGTTTTGTGTGCAGCCTGTGACTATCCTGTGTGCCTTGTTTTGTAGTGTTTGGAGTTTCTGTAGTTGGTGTTGGATAGTGCGGGCGCCCAGGCGGGGCTGGCATAAGCCAGCTCTGTTCTGATGAACTGTTTGTATGTGGATGCTAGTGTTTCTTTGTCTTTGTCAAATTTGGTACCACCTAGGGCCCTAAGTGAGTTAAAACTGTAGCAGTGTGTGGAGAGTAAGGGATATACTATCAAAGTTGTTAGCATTTTCTTATTAAAAATTACCTGGCGACTGATCTTGAAAATGACTGGCGACGCTTTCGGCTAGAAATCCATATATTGGCAACACTGCTTGCACCCTCTAAACCCTGGGTTTGACAAACCTAGAAAGTAAACAATCATTTTATAATCAAAGTCAGATGATAAAATCTCAATTGACAAATAAATGACATAGCATTACAAAAGAAGATGACAAAATTGGCATATCTGTTAACAATCTCAAGATGGGGAAACAGTATGCAATTCTAGGATATTAGTATTAGATGGCCGAATTTTCTTTTTATAAGTGTACAATTAAAGACCAGAAAATGCATTAAAAATTTCAAGGTGTCCAAGTTCCAACAATTCTTCAGACAACTTGAGTAGATTAAAAGGCAGTTTTAGCAAGTAACAATAATATATTAACATTTCAAATATAACAACATTCAATTTAGGTCAAAAGAAGCATTGAATAGTGAAATTTTGGTAGACATAATAACAGAATATACAGAAATAGAATACAACACCATAATTCCAAACCAGAAAGTCCCTCTGCAAATAATCTCAAAGTTTAGACAAATCTGGTAAGTTGGAAATAGGTAGCTTGGGTCCAGTTCAAAATGATGAGGGTTCCACCTTCCATCAATGGTTGGTTAATGTTGTGCATTTCTGAGTCTGCATTATGACATTGCTGGTGAGTTTCTCCAGTGCAGTGTAATTGCAATACTGTTGCTTGTGTATATATATGTATTATTATAAATTAAAGATTTCCTTGTATATATTTATAATGTGTACACTTCTAGGCTTAAGCTTTACGTAGATGAACAGGTTATTATGTGTTATGGCTTGAAATCTTTCCCCCAAAATTTATATTTCTCTTTTTTTATTTGGGTTTTGAGGCTCAATTATCAAGCCTCCACATATCAATATCATCTGCCTCTCTGCTACTTGTGCCATACATAGCATTATAAAAAATGTGATACTCAAGACAATAAAAATTGACTAAAATTTTTTAAATTTGGCATTAGCAATATCTGTAAAATTAAGATTTTTGATTTTTGACTCGATGATGTTTAATTATATTGAAATTCCTTTATATTTGCATGTTAAACTCATCATAATGTCTAATATTCTGAGCATAGTGACCACATTTAAGAAATTCATCTGCTGCTATTTTCTCCCTTAATGTGCAAATTAAAAAAAAATGCATTGAGTTGAAGCCATTCAAAGTTGAATATTGTTTTTTTGGGAGGACACACTGTATTGGTGCAATTAATAGAATATTAGTTAATGGCCAGCCCAACTTGGTGAGTTAGCATAAGGAGGTTAACGTGCACAAATGCAATTAGTAGTTCAAGTTAAGGCTCGAAAGCCGGCAATACTGCCTAAGTAATGCGTCAAAGACGACTTTTAATTGTTGGGTCAAGCCAAAGGGGTGAAGTTGCATGCATTAAATGCCAAAAGGGCCCATGTCATGCATTAATTCAAGTTAATAAGTAAGAGATAGGACGATAATTGCACTCCTAAGTTGATATAGAAAGCAACAGTCTGGTGATTCCACCACAATGTGGAATTAATTTGTCATAACCTTGAAAATATTTATAAATTTCTGCATAATTATATATATTTTTGCCAATTAAGTGATAGACTTTTCACAAATGTAGAAGAAATATTTAAGATTATAGCTACACATGCTGGTTCAATACAACCACCAAGTTTGCAGGCTTTACAGCCATGGCATATACATAATGCTTGACTGAGCCCCTGAATGTGACTTGATGGAACAGGTGATTGAGCCTGAGTACTCCTCAGTCATTTTTCTATGAAACCCACCCAACATGTAGAAATATTACTTTTATTGCAATATGTTTAATACACCTGTACTAGTTCCCTTATTCACACCCTAAATTTACATATATAAATTAAAGTTATGGCATTTAACCCTTAAGCAACCACCCTTCTTGACAGTGCAAAATACCACATTGCATACATATAACATTACTGAGATTTATTCATTGAAGAAAATTGGCAGGTGATATATTTGTCCACCTGGACATGGCGCAGCCTGAAATCGGAGGCAATACATTTGTCTGATTGGACAAATGAGCTTCATAAACAAAAAATACAATTTTTAAAGGTGACATATATTTAGAGCTGGGTGCAAAAGGGTTCAGTGCAAAAATATTTTAGTTATGAACATCTGTAACATCTATAGTAAGAGAATCGGGCCAATTTCTTGTTAAGGTTGATTACCTACAGCAATTTTATTTTACATACAAGTAAGTCATCATCGAGAGGAAATTTCCATCACCTGATTTGACTGAGAAAATCCTAAGAAAATATTACAGAAAAATTAGGTGATTATTGTGATGGCAATTGACATTTCATCGCGTTCTTACTAAAAAAAAATTTCAGTGCTGAATGCCCATAGATTTGTCAACAGACTTTATTGACGTGCATTGATTAATTACCAAATACAGTGTGCATTGCACCAGCGCATAATGTTGAGCAAAAACTGTGTGAGAACTGAGAAGTGTCTGATCTACGTTTATACTGTTCTGCGTGAGTAACCTCAGCACAGCCAAGTTCAAAAATGTTTATATTTGTGTGAAAAAATGTTAAGAGATTTCTTATTAAGTCCCAAACTTCTTTGATCAGCTTGCTTGCTATCAGCATGATCTTAGTTAGATTGAATTGTCCTAGTGAGTGAAACTATTGCTCACTTAATATTCTAGACCATAATTTGTAGATTCGGCTAACGTGATGGTGAAAGTTTCTGCATTCTGTATGGCATGCAAGACGCGACTGTTTTACCAAATTTCGAAGATTCTCGACACTGAATACGATGACGCCAAAGCTTCGTGCTCAGACTCCTAATGCCTTCACGGTCGTAATATTAACCCTTTCATTTACTTTTGACAAATATGGTATTTGCATTATTTCGTGCGTGGTCAAAACTCGAGTTGTTTGCATGTGTGGTCGTTGACGTGGGGAACAAGAAGATGTTGCGTGTTCAGACTTTACTTTGCATGACATGCAATCAACATTGCTCGCTTTTAATTCGATGTTTCTCACTGGGAACTATCGCAGCGTTATTGCAATCATTTAGGCAAGCGCTTTGTGCCTAAACGTTTATTATCTTATTTCAATTTTAATTCGCGAAAACTGACGCTGATCCATGTAATAAATCTATCGGTTGTTAAGTGCATACTTTCAATCACTAACGATTTTGCCTCACCTACACCTCGTTTTTTCTTTCAATTTTTTTTAATATATTCCCCTCGACCCTCATGACATGTTCTGAAGTAGCGCACTAATACGTTTAGTTTCGTTGACGGAGCTTCGATCTTGGATTCAATTCACGCTGATCGTTCAGTAAAAATTTTCTTCGATTTAATTGTTTGAATTTTGAAGTATAGATTCCATTTCAGTTGCATAATTCGCCATTTTTAAATGGAACTGGGACTTTCTAGCAACTTATTTAATCCATAACCGTATTTTGTTTGGATACTTGGAAAAATGAACATTTTAGAGCATTTTCACACTTGTGTTTTTTTCGTTACTGTCGAAATTTCAGGGTGCGCAACTTCAAGAAAGTTTGTTTATGCAATCGAACTTGGTAAAAATCCATCGCAATATGCCGCCGAGGATAGGGACCGATGCATGCAATACAGAGAACTGTTGCATGAGCGCCAATAACCTTGTGACCTGCAGCCGACTTTCCTAACCGCAGATATGATTTCAATGACACGCTGCGACTGCGTTGATTCAGTTGCCAATACTGCTAGTGTTGTTGATTGTCTCTTAACAGTATCTGGGATGTCGGGTGTCATTGCTGTAACACGGTACCTTGTGACTTGGTTTTATTGTCTACATTCTAATATGAATGCGTCTAGACTGAACGCGATTGAGGTACTCTCGCAAGTTGAAAACCGGCTCATTTCGTCATTGTGTTAGGTCAAACTAAGTAAAGTTTATATCATATCAAATTTGCTGTGTGAACATGTGTGTTCACGTCAACCTTGCGTACAATTTCAGTGAACCTAATAGAATGGATGATTGTGTCTAGGTAACGAGCGTTAACGCAATGTTAGCAACCGGTGCCGGCTTTCTAGGTCATCTACCTCAACTTGTGATGGCTGTCAGCCACTGATGCATGCCTCTGAGCCACTCGCCTTTGACGTTGTGCTTGCTCCGTGCAGCGCTTTTTGTTGTAGAACTCCAGTGAATAGGCGGCATTTGTCGTTGGGTTTCCTTACTTCCTCGCCGTACGGAAGACAAATGAAAGTTGGTGGATGCGTTGCATCGTTGCGCCGACGCCTCAGTCGCCGAAATTATCTAGTTGAGTCACAGTGCGAGCTGAGCGGTTGTGCGGAAAGGATGTTGGTGCGCTTTGCTGCGTAGCGGCGCGTCTGTGTTCCTTAGTGTTCCATATATGGTGCTTGTGGTATTTGCAAGCCGGGACGCAGTGTTGGAAGCTCTCTAACTTGTGTCAAGTTCAAAATCTTCGGAGGTGGGTTATTCGGTACACAGCCGTGGCGTGTGTGAACAGATGCTCTTCTTGTCTGCCATGGCTTGCCTGTGTGTTGACGTGTGGGTGTGGCAGTTCCACGCCACCAGGCTCATGTTTTCGTGTGCTCTTTAACTCTGTAGAATTGTTAAACTTTATCCTTACTCCTGTATTCAGGAAATTTTTTGATTTCGTAGTTTTTTTTTTACTCATCTCTCGTCCCCCGATGACCTCCAACTCGGTAAGACGCCGAGCTCTCTTGGCTCGTCGCTTCATACAACCCCTGTCTAGGTCACGCTGCCGCTTTCCTTCGACTTCTTGGATTTCTCCACGTTTTGGTCGTCTGTGACGTACACATTGCGCTTGCGCCTTTCTTTTATCTAATTTAGAATTTTTCGCGCATTCTACTCTGACTAATTTTTCAGGTAACCATTTTTTATTATGCAGAAATGTGCATTTACTCTCTCATTGTTGAAATATTCTCTTGAATAATTCAACAATGTATATTGTATCCTCATCCTTTTATTATCTTACATAAAAGTAAATTGAAATATTCTCTTAATTGCTTTTTTTAACACTGTCATCTTGAGAATTCCGACAATCATTGCATGGTTTTTCACTGTTGATATATAATCCCCTATAATGTAGTTGGCAAAGACAATACTGGATATTAATTATATGTATCTATAAATATTTTCTTAACAACTTGAATGATGAAAGTAATTGTGAAGATGCAGCAGCTGCTATATATTTGCCTTGGCTCTTGTGGCTATGTTCTTAATTACTTATGAACATTATTATTATTAGGTACTCAAACAGTGTTGAAGACATTGAATTGATACATGAAATCAATGGATACCTACGAGCTGGACTGGGGAGTTATTTTAAAAGGCCTGTATGTTGTGTGGTCATATCTGTCCCTCAATGTTTATTGCCTTGACTAAAATTATCTTTCATCAAATTTTACTATCCCCTTCAAAATAATGCCAGGAATAAATTTTATGTACTTCTTGCTATAAAAAATGTATGAAGAAGTGAAAATAATTTATTGCTGTAATTTAAAAATGCTTGTCATTATGAAAGTTAAGATATTAAGTCTGCATTTAGGTATTCATTTATTTGTCATTAGTTTGTAATCTCTTCATGATTTTCAAATTATTAGCATTATAAACAGATTTATTAAGGTCCTTATGCCACTTTCTTGTTCATTTGTGAGAACTGATATTTTTAGCACATTTTCTCACTTCTGGAAGAAAAGGCGCTATTGTGCTAGCCGTGTCCGTCTGCCGTGACTTAAAGTTTTTGTCAACGAAAAAATGCACTCTGTCACTCACTGCAGTGAGTACTTAGTTATATTTTTTCTTTTCTGACGAATGATCCGCAGATTAGTTTATACATCAATATAAACTCTAGAGTGTGACTGTGTTGCTTCAGATCACTGTTTCAACAAAGCAGGTTTTGCTTCAGGCATGGATCTACTCATTAAGAACGTAATGATGATGAGTTATGACTAATTAACCACTGTTCATACTGACACTTGAATGAACTGTTTTCACTTGGATCATATGTATTTATATGAACTATAATAAAAATTATTTGCGCCTCATAAATGAAGTCTCCTGATGTGACCCTAATCTGGTTGGTCATAAAGTATGTGCGGTTGGCTCTCACGGTAGCACCACTAGGAATTGAGCGGCTCACAGCTGTGAGGCTCTGTAGTATTAGACGGCATCGTGACAATGAAGCTCACATCCTCTTGGAGGCTCAGGCTCTCTCACCACTCAACTCATCTGCTCGCTCAGCCACTTGCTGCTCTTCATTGTGGAAAACAAGAGATATTTTAGAATCCGTTTATTTTTAATTTCCTCAACTACTCAAGAATTAAACAAATATTTTATGTATGATAATGCTGTTATCTATATATGGTACTTTTCTGGTCTACTTATAGTATTCAAGAAACAAACTCGAGGAAGCTGTTTGTTCATGTTTCTGCGTTACTTCTCGTGAGCTACGTGGGCACACGCTTCCCTCGTAGTAGACGAGAAATGGGGACGTGTGGGATTGTTATATGATCTGTTCAGGGTATGAAACGGTGAAATTACTTGTAGAATATTTTAGTAGGATTTGTCGATGAACCAAATTTCAGATGTCCGTAGTTTCTGTCACGAGCATAACTTGGAGAGCAATAGCAAACATTTGACCTTTTAGAGACCGGCCGGCATTTTGCGAGCATTTTCCTTGAGTTTGTCTCTTTTGTTATTCTGGCTTCAAGCGATGTCCTTGTCATATGTAAACAAGATATTTCTTAAAATGTACCGAATTTGTGTTTCATACTATTGTGGGTATCCAGTGTGTATTACGAGTGGTTAAGATATTCAAAATATGTCAATGAATCTTCATTTATTGACCGATATTTCTACCCCCTTTCACGCGTCAGTGTTGCGTCAATCAAGTCTGCCAATAATCGCCCTTCTAGTTGCCGAGATTTCATCATCATATAGGAACCGCTTTTATGAATATATATCAAAATTTTTTATTATATTCCGAAAGATACCTTTTCAGTTATTTTGATTCGTTGATCTTATCCTTTTAGGTAGTCCTGAACGAATAAATTTCTACTCGCACATCGTCGTGGAGCTGCCTAACGACGCTTGCTCAAGAGACGAGGTGAATTTTTCTAACCAAGACGTTCGCCGTAAAATAGATGACAAGGCTGAGAATCTCCATGTTGCTTACGAGGCTTCCGCCCGTCTATTTTAAGAGGCCGGCCACACCCTGACGACCTAGCTGGCCGAGGTCTGTGACATCTTATTGACTTGTGACCGCAGTCATGTACTGCTGCGCTATGCATATCGATTTGCTGCCCCTCAAGCAACTGGTTGTTTGTATTGTCAGATCGTAGACTTATGTCATCATTTCCCCACGACACAGAACAGACACATCCGAGGAATCGCTTCCTTTACTGCTCCGTTCCCTTGTATATTTGCTCTGGCGATGAAACTTTCGTCTTTCTTGTTAAGAATTTCAAATGTAATGCTTACCTGGCAGTATCAAGAGTTCTGTCCAGCTATTTCTATCTTTATAAGTGACTCATGAAAATTGTCCTGTAGAACTCTGTGCTCGTTACTGTTGTCACTAATGTTCCCAATTTCTCGTTCGCAGTAGGCCCTGTCTAACAGCCCGGCGCAGCAGTGTAATTTTTCAAAGAAAAGTTGTAACTAGTTTCCCATCTAAGTCATGCCAATATTTTCTCGGAGCATTTAAAATTTATTTTACTTCCTCCAGTTTCTTATTTGCAGCAATATGAGAATAATGTTCCCGCAAAGCACACAGTACCATATTCGAGTGAAGATAGCGTCCGTTCCCATAAACGCGCCTGAATTAAGGCTTTTTCTACAGTCATTGTAAGACGTGGGCTCATTCAGCCACACTTGCAAGGCCTCCCAATCTTGTTGAGCTTTGAGCGTCTCTCCGTTCTGACGCAGTCTAAAAAATACTTGTCTTTTTTTTATCCATAGAACGTTGGTCTGTAACCGCAGGGGGATGCGTTGTATGCTGACTGCACGTTCAAGTATATAATCATTCTATGTAGACGCAAAAGTTTTATGAAAGTTTCTTGCTATTTTTATGACATATTTAAAATAATATATTTCAATCGAAAAAGTGAGCAAATTTTTGTTTATTAATTGTCAACTGTAGTCTACCTGAGAGGTGCTAAGCCAGCAACAGGCAAGGGCTAATCGATAAATAGACATGTAGCTCATGCACCGCACAGTACTGAGTACTTTGCGACATACCTTAGCGCTTATCGAATAAGGGTGTGAATGTGTTAATAAATTGCCGTTTTTTGCTATTCATTTGTAAACTCTTCTCTGTCTCTGAGCACTCTTAAAAAATTATTTCAGTAGCAAAAAGCATTCTAAAAATTTTAAGTTTCTTTTTTATAAATATAAACATTTTTCATTTAATTTCGTAAAGAATGTATAAATCTGATCTCTCTCTGGAATTAAATTGAAATTGATTGAACATAGCATGAAAATGAAGCAATTAGAAAAGTACGAATTCTAAAAAGGTTTTCGGTATTATTTATTTTCGTTGATGTTGATGCTGAAGCTGTGTGATTTCCATCTATCATCGTCTCTATTGACAGTCGTACAGGGCATCGTTCTTCAAATCACAAGGAAATAAATATCAGCCAACAGTGCTAAGTTTATGTCATCGCTTAGCTTGGCCGCTGCCTCCGTTGCACTGAGTTTCTTTTTCTCATTGTATTTTTTTTTTTTTGCACCGTCTTCAGTGCGTGCGTTAGAATATTGTTAGATTGAAATTTTTTTCATGTTTAATGCACGTAAATCATCAGTAATTATTTTGTAGTTACTTGTGTGGGTAACGTGCGTATTTTCTAGTTTAATACAATATTAGCGGAATTAGTGTGCGCGGCCGGAGTGGTTGAAGAGACGGCACGATTCTCCGGCGTTGCATGATTCTGTTGCTCGGGCTGACGACAGTGAATGGCGGGCGGCTGAGCAGCCACATGGCTGTGTTGGCTACGGCTGAGGTGTAGCTGCAGCAGGCATGACATCACCCAACGGCTGCTGGCTATTGATCCGTACTGTCTAGCTAGGCGTTTTCTGGAAACTCCTTACCTTGCAATGAGAGAATTTTCTTCATTCATACTTGCTCCGAATTTGTCATCAAAAGAACCTCAGTTATGACTCTGTACTTGATACGATAATATAAATCAAAAAAGAAACACAATTTTGCGGTTGGGTTATGTGTAGCTTCTGTCGTAAACTCCGTTGCCCAATATTGCGTGCTTTTGCATCTCGCTATCTTGAACACAAATGTGCCTTTGTCTTGCTCGTGTGGCTGCACTTTTTTGAGGAGGGGCTTCAGGTTTCTCGACCAGTTCCCATCATCTGAAGCAACGAGATTTTTTTACTTCTAATTTTGTTCCGTTTTCTAGTCATCGATATCGTGGCACCTAAAAGATGCTCCCAATT